CCACAACACTACTAGGCAAACATAATTAGGTCATAACCCTCCCTGTAACTCTGCAATGTCAAGGCCACCGGAGAGAAAAGTGGGGAGGGACAGGAGTTACATATATAATGTGTGTGGAACAAGGAAACAGAGGAAGTGAAACAAAGTTTTACTTTAACGTGTCAGTTTCATGCTGGTAGAGACCATAAATCCAACAAAGAAATCCTGCTTTAAGAGATGAAACTGAAAGAAATGGCAACTGGTCCGGGGGCGGGGGAGGGAGGTTGGAGGGGGAGGTGAGGGAGTAGAAAAAAAAACAATTGCAAAAAAGCAAAAATAAAAGTACATCAGCTGATATTTTAAAAATCTGGTTGATTCTGACTAACCTTGCTTACCTCACAGGAAATTCTTTATTGACAGTAATCTCAGTAACGAATGAGTCTTTGATCCAACAAGACTTCACATTTGCTTTGCATCAAAGAATAAGAATTCAAAGTGCTATTTGGGGGGAAAAAAGTCATATTGTTAAAAATATTACTCAACAAGTTATGAGACCGATTCCAAGCAGCAATGTGCAGCCACAAACTGTGTTCCAGCAGAGGGAGCACTGGGACAGAGGCGACACCGGAGAAACTGATGTAGATCTAAGATCGATTCAATAACCCAGAGCTATGTAAATTAACATGTCAATTCCCAGGAAAGGTTTTGAATATTGATGAATATCTGAATATCTGTATTTCCTACACAGGCACTAAATCATTGCTTATAAGGAACAGTAGACTACATGCCAACACTGTGGAGAAAGGGCTAAATTAGACAGCCTGGTCCCAAAACCCAACTCTAGACACCAGCGAAACCAACCTGAGAAACCAAAGCAAACTCTGGTGAAAACAAAAACCTAAAATAATGCCCTACTCAAACAGGCACTCAGTAAGCTGATTTTTTTTTTTTTTGCAACTTGTAAAGAAAACAGAACCCTTAAACTAAAGCAAACACTAATACCAGATTTCTGATGCTTCTTTTACCGTGACTCATTTAATACAGATTAACTACACTCTATTGCTTGACAGCTTTATCAGGTTTCTGTTGAAGGCCCCACAGACTCTTCCCATTCCTGTAATTCCTGGCCACTTGCTATGCTTTACTCACCCTGCAGTAACCATCTCGGCAAAGGATTTCTAATACTACAAAATTCAAAGAAGCAAGAAGGTTTCGGGAAGAAAGTAAGAGTTTAAAAGTTGGGGGCTGGCGGAAGACCAGATACAAAGGATGTTTAATCTGGTTGTATCATTTCCAGCTAAAAACCTCCCATGACTGTCCCTGTATAGGCATGGCCAATTAATCCTAATCAGTCCAACCCTCCCCCCAATGAGCACCCCCATCACAACCCTTCACTCACTTTATGCTTCAAATACTGCTTTGATTGTTCTGTGCCTTTACATCTGCTGTTAATGTTACTTTAAATGCCCAGCAGAGTAATATAAAGAGCAAAAGACTCTGAGTGTTTTTTTAATCTTGACTTTGTACCGGTGACCTTGTCATTTAACTGCTGTAAACTATTTCCACATCCAGCAAAAGGGGAACCTGTGCCCCATCTATTTCAGAGTTAGAAGGATTAAATGAGATAGCATATGTAAGTAATGCAGGGTGCCTAATAGAAACCAAAGCACTAAATACATTAGTTCCTTTCCCACCTCCCTCTATATCTCCTGAACTCCTACTCACCCTTCAAACCCCAGTTTAAACGTTTCTGTAAAACCTATGTGTTCTATTTACTTCTCTCCAAAATAATCCATTGCCTAGTCTGTGTTTCCCGCTCTTAGAGAAACTTCTGTTGTATTCTAATCATTTGCCGATGATCTTTCTATTAGAGAATGAACACCTCCAGGATGAGATTTTTTTTTTTAATTAATGCCTACTCCAAATCTGACAGAATCAATAATACAGCTTACTTAGCATTTTGTGAATAAATGAATGATTTCTTTAAACTGTTAGAAACTAAAACCCTTAGATGGCCTTTCAAATATTCTGATAATACACTTTTTTAAGAAAAATCCCATTTTAAACTGGTACCCTAACAGAATGTAATTATTATTTTTTTTAACGTTTACTTATTTTTGAGACAATGCGAGAGAGAGTACAAGTGGCAGAGGGGCAGACAGAGGGAGACAGAATCTGAAGCGGGCTCCAGGCTCTAAGCTGTCAGCACAGAGCCCGATGCAGGGCTTGAACCCACCAACCCTGAGATCATGACCTGAGTCTAAGTCGGATGCTTAACCGACTGAGCCACTCAGGCACCCCTGGAATTAATTTTTTTTAATGTTTCTGCTCACTATTCATTTAATCAACAAGTGCCTCCTATAGGCTAGGAATACAGCCATGAACAAAATGAACAAAAGCTGTGTCCCCATGGGCTTTGTATTTACCACAGGTAAATCTGTGAAAGAAATTATCACTGCAAACTTGTCTGAAAAGGTATCAAAAGCCACTTTTTGTCTTATTCATCATCTACTAAGAATGAAAAGGACCAAAAAACAAAAATTAAAAAAAAATTCTCACCACACATAAAATTTAACTACTTAAAAAGAAGTAGCATGAAATTAACCCAGATTTAGTGTACTAAACAAGCAAAACTGATTTAAAGTCCCTTAAAAAAAAAATCATGTTAGGGACCCATTTCCTTGCAGCTAAAAAGAATTCTGTGACTTCTCCTTTGGGAAGTAATTTTTGTGACTTAAGGATGTTACATGTACAACATGCTCTGCATAATCCTAATTCGAAACGTGGCCTATGTCAAAGCGTTTTTATGACCTTAACATTCCTCATTTTATAAGAAAGCTTTTATGGTACTCTGTAGCAATGCTTCTATTTGAAGTGGCTTTCAGAGAAGGGAGGTGGGTCACACCAGGACCAGATCAGGACCACGTCTCAACTGGGATGCACCGTCAGGCAAGCAGCCCAAGTGCCACAGAATGAGGCTGAGGTAAGAGGTGTTACGGTTCCTGCACACAAACTCTTCCGATCTTACCTCAGGTTTAATCCTCTTTGTCGCATCCACCTCGTTCCCCAAGCAAGCCCTATGCTTTCCTTTCTTTATTCATTCCCTGGCTGAGAAGGTCCTTCACGCATCTCTGTCCAAACACTACTCATGCATCAACAATCCAATTCCAGGAGGAAGCGCTTCTTTCCAGCCTCTGTTAGGGAACTGTACCCTTTTTGAATGCATCAGCCCTCTCTCCGGGGAGACACTTTCTTATGGAGCCTCGCAAGTCCTACCTGGCTTTATTCCCACCCTGCTACTCTTACAACACAGTATTTCCAAGGGGGCCTTACACACAACAGGGGCTCAATTTTCCCAGCCGATAAAAAAGAGTACACATGATATCCAAATACGCAATACTTGCCATGCTTCATTCAAAGATCTCTGTAAAACATTATTCAGTTTCCAAATCACAAGATTCGGTCTCACTGAACATATCTTGCGACCTACAATTATGTTATCTCTAGGTCAGAAGAAACAATAAACATGGTCCAGGTGTCCCAAGCAGAGAATGCTGAGAATACTGAGGAAAGAATCCTGATCACTTGGCTTTAACCACAGGTTATTTACCGAAGGGTCCTGAAGGCACAGGTAGTTCCTCTACAGACAGGTTTCATTTCAGCTGTACTTTCTGGTCATTTGGGACCTTCATGTGCCAACTTAATATTTTACTGAGAGTCTTGCCCTGCTTCAGTAATTAACAGTACAATAAACAAAAGAAAGGTCAGCAATGAAATAGTTTGGATGTAAAGTGCAGTGAGCTGGGGTTTAGGCTCACAGTTCCTGAACGTGGAATTATATAAATGGGTCTCACTTCCTCTTAGAGACTGGAAGGAAGGGGGTGAAATACAGAATATGTCAAACAAGTGGTGAATGGACAAATCTTTAGGAGTTCTAGGTTTCAAGAGCTTTCAAGTCCCAGTCATAGGGAGAAAAAAATACTTCAACAGCACCCTAAAGGAAACAAACTGAAGTATGGGATGAAACATTTATAAAGCATCAGCAGTGTGTCTTAGAAAAATTACTAGTGAGATTTATGTCTCAACCCCCTACTTTCCCTCAAAAGTGCTTTCTAATAATACCAAGCACATTCCAAATAGCTTCCGTCTGCCAAGAACTTGCCAATTGTACCTCCCCTGCTCAGCAACCAGGGTGAAAAATCAATGCCAGGGGAACCTTAATCCTTTCATTTTTAAAGTAATTGCAAACATCTATCTTGCTGGGCATTTATCCACAGGGGGAGTGGCTCCTAAATGAATTTAATAAGTGAACATGACCTTTAATAGATAATTTGGTTCCCAACAGGAAAGCAAGAGAGGCAAAAGGGAAAAGGAGAATGGGTGGATATGGATTTAAAGGAAAAAGTAAGAAAAACAAAGAAGGAATTCACTTGGGGAAAACATGAAAGCAAGAGGTAATACAATAGTAAAAACAATAGGAGATAAAAATAATACTACATCTAAAGATAAATAACTAAATAAGGAAAGAGTAGGGGTGGCAAAGAAAAGAGTCCAGAATCACTGAATTAACTTTAGAAATTATCTTACTGGGACTTTAAGACTGATAGGTTCAGAGCTTGGAATCCTAGAAAAAGAAAGGGGCTAGCAGTAAAAAAATACAGTGAGACGCTACAGGAAGGAGACCTTCCTCTCATAAACCCTAGGGGGGGCATCAGGTAGGGCTGGATCAAGGTGATTAGTGGAATTCCTAGAAGTACTGAGATATGCAACAATCACGCGGATTCACTTGCCCGTGAGTGATTCCACGCGGGCTCAGGGGAGCCCACAGCGAACACTACCCACCTCCGCCGCCCCACAACCTTCGCGGGAGCCTTTGATGCTGGAGTAACAGACAGATGGGCTCTCAAGGAGCAAGAGAAGCGAGTATTCTCGGGACCAGCAAGCCCCGACGGGAACCCCGGAGGGGCAAAAGGCATGCAGCGACCAGGGCCAAGGACGCCCTTCCAAGAGCGCGAACTCACCGATGCCGAGCCCCACGACCAAGCGGCCGGCTAGCAGCGTCTCCTTGTTGTTCGCCGCGGCCAGCACCGCGGAACCAGCCGTGAAGAGGGCACTGGCCAGCAGGATGGCGGCGCGGCGGCCGAAGACGCCGTTGAGGGCCCCGCCGGCCAGCGCCGAGACGGCGGCCGCCCCCACCGTGCTGGACACGAGCAGCTCCTGCCACAGCGCGTCCAGGCTGAGCTGCCGCTTGAGCAGCAGCATGGCCCCCGACACCACGCCGGTGTCATAGCCGAACAGGAAGCCGCCCAGCGCCGAGAAGACGGCCACCACGTAC